GAGGAGAAAGATGGTCTTGAGCCTGAGCAACTTGACTGAAACTTCTTCTATGGGTTAAAAGGGGGCATTGCATAAGCCCTTTAGAACCACAGCCAGGTCCCATGAGGGCAACCGTTGCATCCCTGGACTGGAGTACAGTCTCAACAACCTCAGTTGAGAGAACAGATGCTAGGAGCTGTGCCCCCTCAGGGGCCATGCCCACAGCTTCCATAACTCCGGGCGGGGGTGAAAAATGGCGCCCCCCGCTGGAGATTCCAATCAGGAGGGACTTCCTCTCTCCAGCGGGGGGCGCCATTTTGCCATTTTCGAAAATCCTTTGGTTCTGAGCCACCACTGCAAGGGTCTCATGTACAGCAGGCCAAAAGGTATCACGTTGGACGCCGCTGCCATCAGGCCCAACAGCCTCTGAAACTGTTTGACAGTGAGTGACTGGCCTTCTCTTACTCTCGTGACTGTTGTGAGGATTGACTCGATTCGAGCAGGAGACAGACGTGCCTGCATCGAGGTTGAGTCCCACACCACGCCTAAATAAGTGGTTCTCTGTAGTGGAGAAAGAACACTCTTCTTGGCGTATAGTCTTAACCCCAGCTCTCTCATATGGGCGAGGACGACATCTAGATGCCATCTAGATGCCGATCTTCTCCGATTGAGCTAGTATTAACCAATCGTCGATATAATTGAGTATGCGGATGCCCTAGAGTCGCAGTGGAGCCAGAGCAGCGTCCACACACTTCGTGAAAGTGCGGGGTAAGAATGACAGGCCGAAGGGAAGAACTCTATATTGGTATGCTTCGCCCCCGAAAGCAAACCTCAGGAACTTCCAGTGTTGAGGGAGGATGGAAACATGGAAATAAGCGTCTCTGAGATCTATCGTAACAAACCAGTCCTCGGGCTGGATCTGAGATACTATCTGCCTGATAGTGAGTATCTTGAACCGAAGCCGTTTGATAGCGCGGTTCAGAAGATGGAGATCTAAGATCGGACGCAACCCCCCCATCCTTCTTTGGAACGATGAAGTAACGGTTGTAGAACCCGGACACTCTCTCGAGAGAGAGGAAGAACACGTTCTATGGCCCCCTTCCTCAAGAGAGTATCAACTTCTTGTTCCATTACCAGAGCCTGCTCGGGGCCCACTAGTGTGGGGATGACTCCGTTGAAACAAGGCGGA